CACCCACACCCACACCCACACCCACATCCACACCCTCATTATCACGTATGTCGAACGAAAGTGAAGTTAAAAGGCAAAGTCTAGCATTCTGAAGTAATGGTTCAAGTTCGACATTGTTGATTTGATTGAGAATCAACGAACGAGGTCTAATGCATTGACGAAAATAAAAATACAAGAGAAATAAATCAATTCCACCTGGATCACTATAGCCGCTGCGTAGAATCAATGAAATCATGTTTTGAAGTCTAATGACACACGAAATATATTTGGAATTCTCGTCTTCAACTGTGTCAAGATTGAGTTTAATTCAATTGTAATTGTTGACAATTTCATAGAGTTGCGTGCAAATACGGCGGATTGAACGAAGGATAGTATGTATATCGAGATAATCGAAAATTCGAATGCATACCTCAGCTGGGACAGTAAGAAGTGGTACAGTTGACATTTATGTGTTTCTTGGACAGTGGATGCATTGAAAAAAAAAAAGAATACAGAGGCCGTCACTGGATAGTGTAAGGTTTATCAATTCAGTATGTTTATTGCAAGATCTAAAGTCTTGATAAAAACTATGCTATTGCTTTCAAATTTAGTATCTATATTTTACTTATGTCGCTTCAAAAGAATATCAGAATCGAACCCGTTATGCCACTAAAATGAATCGTGTGCCGAACAACAATATCCATGTAGAAATTCGAAAGCAAATGTAATTTTGGTGGAATTTTTCTATGTAAAAACTGGTTCATATGTTACTACTTGCATCGTATTATTCAATTGTTAACCGTGTTTCATCACGCCAGAGGGGTGGATACGAATATATTGGAGGTCCCACGACGCATTTTGGTCCGCCTAAAGATCTCATCAGGTAGTTTAAAACATTAATTGACTCCATTGAGAATCAATTCTAGGTTGTTGGTACTGTTTTACCGAAGTAGAATGATCATATACTTGACAGTGATGTGTCGAAGTTTCAATTCAGTAGAATTTGACCGTAACACGACAGCGGTTGTTTTTGTCTTGCCGGGATTTCACCGGATGGTTTTCGATGATATTATATCTATAAAATTGTAATTCAAGACTTTTTTCAAAGTAAATTTTGAATAAGTAGCTAAAATAATGATGAAATATCATTGCACATTCAAGTTTCTAAATGATAGAAATAATAAAGTAAAATACAAGAAAAATTATACACGTCTATATCTATCTAAGAAACATATCTTTATCAAGTGGAAAATTACAATGAGTAATTATATCGGAGAAAGTATTCATTCGATGAAGTATAGTAAGGGTTGTAATTGAGCACTGGTCTGGATCAGTTCCAATGTTTGGGTGTGGCACACACACCTTCATGTTTTTGAAGGTTATTGTTACAAAACTTATGACAAATGTAAAAAATTAGAATAGATTTCTTTAAATTAACTCAATCATCTGTAACATAAAAATGCTCTGAAAAAGATTTATTCAAAAGTAGGCGATAATTAAAGTTTAATGATTTAATAATTAAATAATGTCTATCGTCTTTGAAGTGTATTCGAGAACATAACAAATGCAATCGAAATAATCCATGATAAACATTTTAACTAGTATAAAGTGTACATATATCATCAGCAGTGAGTTCTCGACTATAAATTCTAAACTCATCCATATCACCGTTGAATGGACTCATCGATCCAAGTAGACCTCCATTACAAATACTAGCACCGCTTAGACTATTTCCTAATGTGACATAATTTGGTACTGTACTAGCTGTATATGAATTAGCCATGGAAGTAGTGGATGCAACCAACACATTGTCAATATAGAGACGAAGACCATTTACTGGACCCCATGTTTCAACAATGTGTGTCCAGGTAGGAGCCAAGGGTATTGACGGACCTATTACATATCGAATTATTCCATTAAGCATTTGAGCAATTATTGAACCATTGGCAGCAAAACCTAAGAAAGGAATACACCAACCAAGGCCTGATGAATTTGCTGAAACATGAACAAGGGTTCCCGATAAAGATTGAGGTCGTATCCAGAAGGAGATAGTAAATGGACGATTTGTAATACCAAGCCCAGTTACATCTGATATTTGAAAGTATGATGAAGTTGAACCATTGAATGAGATAGCTTGAAGTGAATGACCATTCGATGTAAATGAAACCGATTGTCCAACAGCTGATAATGAATTAGGTCCTGAATCGGTAAACGAAATGCCTGAATCGAAGGTAAAATAAGCTGCTAATGAAGCTTCTTCAAGAATTTCACATGCTGATTTATCTCGACCTGTAATTGCCAATCGATCAATGATTCCCTTCAAACATAAAGAAACGAATTTACTTTCAACAGCATTATTAGCTTAAATAAAATAAGGAAATATCTGGATATTTTTTTTTATCGATACAATACACGAAGAACAATCAAGTCTTACTTGAAAATAGTTTGAGCCAGAGAGGCTATCAAGTACTGGAATATTACCAATTGTTAAAGTTTCTGGATTAGCTTTAAATGGTCCTGCTGCTGTCCTACTAACATCCAATTTTCCATTAAGATAAATACTCTGTGTTAATGAATTTGTCTCAAAGACAAAGGCAACATGTATCCATTCATTTACTGACACATATGTATTTCCTGGACATTCATCACCATAGAAACCAAAATAAAGATAACAATTACTACCATTTTTACGAATAGTTAAATACATACATTCAGAAAAGGTAAGATAAGGACACAAACCGACTATACTGTGATCCTGCGAATTTGGAAAACCAGTAGGGTAAATCCAAGCATCGATAGTAAAACTGGTGCTCGCCAAACTCATAGATGGAGATGTTAGTGATTGATTGTCAGTTGCATTGAATACCAGTGCTTGGTTCACATAACCGGTCGTATATGTGAAAATTGGTGCTGTACTTGGTATGGTACCGGTGACATCTTCAAGTAGATTATTATCGAATTGCCATTCAGCAAGCAAATTGCTGGATGAAGTCCATGATTGATTGACACATGAAGAATTACAAACATAATGGATTGTTGTTGTTGTAACTTATAACAAAAGATAATAATCATTTTACTACTCTTTAATAGTTAAATTAAAATTCTACTTGTTGATGTAACTGTCGTTGTGCTTGTTGTCGTTATGGAAGTGGTTGCCACTGACGATGTTGTTGATATGGAGGAACCTATTGAAACAAGAAGAAACAATTGGTTAACAATAGTAGATTACATACTTATTGTTGAGATATCAACAATAGAAAAAACAGCAATAAAGATAATTGATAATTTATTTTAATATAGACATACTTGTTGTTATTGTAGAAGTACTTATTATTGCTAAAAGATGAATATTCATTTCTATATAATGTAATAATCTAGCAAAATATTACTTGTTTTTATTGTGGTGGTAGATTTTGGTAAAAATTCGAGCAATAAAACAGTCAAAAGTGTTCCAAGAATAAGACCAGTTAATAGAAGACAAGGTAAACAAAAAAGTTTACATGGAGAACAATAAAATCGTCTATAAGAAAATAAAATTTAAAATTCCAAATCTAAAATAATAGTTACTTTCGTTTTTTTCTCTTTTTTGTATGTTCTACTATATCATGAAGTTCATCGGCAGATCCTATTCGGCTTGTAAATCCATCTGATAACTAAATTTATTAGAAAAACAAGGTAGAGATAAATTATGGAAGACAAGATCCATCTGTATTACTTTGGTTTTACTAGAACTATTGAATTGAATTGAACCACGAGAGATATCATCCTATAATATTTATAAAAAAAAAAAGTATGCATATCAAATTAATCAAATGTACATTTAATTACATGATATGGAAACACTTTATCTGATTTTGATGATAGCTTTTTTAATATTTTCGTTTTTCTATCTCTGTGAGTATTTAATAGTGTTACACTTTTTATTTGTCGTTGATGATCATATGACGACTAGGAAAGAAAATATTGAAATCAATATTCAAAAAAAAATCTTCTACCTGAGATAATGATCGATATCGTGGATTAATATCAGCAGATTGTATTGTATTATTCGACCATTCATTTAAACTTTGATTAGCTAATGATGTTGAATTATGACGATGATGACTTGCATTTATAAGATCGGTGGTCTATTCAAAAAGAAATAGATGAAACAAATACAAAGATTAAAACTCTAACCGAAGGAAATGTGTCATTATCATTGGTATTTTCGCTTTTATTTTCAAGAATAGAGCTACTTTGTGGTCGAACTTTTGTATGAATAACAGTTATTAACCGTACACTATTTGTTTTTCTTCGATGAGCATGTATTTTGACGGATTGTTGACGAGAAACTGTAGGAAGAGTTGGTGTAAATTGTTTTCTTGGTGTAACTGCAGAATGAATAGATGAAAGTAGACGTTTATCATTTATATCTGCCATTCTTTGTGATAGTTCGTGATGTGAATTAGGATAAATTTATTTGAAAATGAATTTATAAATATACAGAATCATAATACAATATTAATTAATTTGATTTTTTATTCAATAGGCTTATTAAAGGTTTCTTTTCTATTTCTACATGCAAAAATATATTCGATGATTTTATTGAAAGACGAATAAAAAAAAAGCAGCTTTCAGTGCAATCTCTAGAGGATTGAAATGTGGAACATGATGGAGTCAATTTAACCATTATGGAGAGAACTCGTTATGCCGATCACCTTTGGCTGTCGGACACAGACCAGCACATCGAAAATACTTTTTTGGTAGAAGACATTTGTCTGTTACTGATGAAGAGTATCGATTTTGGAGCTCAGCGATGCCAAAAACTACTGGGAATCAGAACTGGAATCATTTATCTAATGTTGAACACTAAGCAACTGATATTAGTTTTTTCATAAATTTCGAAATAGTTCATTCATGTCTTTCTTTAAAAAAAAACAATGTTTGCAAAATACCCATATGAAACTACACATCCTATAAATCGACTCTAGAAAATTTCTTGATTATTGCTGTAATTGTATTGATGCAGTGTTCTTGATTGTAATGCGAAATTGTATATAATAAATTTTTACATATTGATGAGATTAGCACACAAAAATACAAAAAGAAACGCTAAGTTCAAAAATAATAAATGAATATTCATTCCTTGTATAATTATAATAGAATAACTTATTTATTTAGTATTTTACGTTACGAATAAAATTCTATGTAGTGAATGGATGAAAAAATGGATTGTGAAGAAATCATAAATGACTAAATAAACATAGAAGACATGAATGGTCGTTCATAATTTTTGGTTTCAATCGTTCCTATGCTAATCCCATTATCTGTTTTTCACATTTCTGATTTCAATTTTTTTTTTTTTGAAATCGCCAGGCTCTAAAAGTTTTTAGAAAATTTGTTTATGTAGAGAATTAATATATTCGATAAAAGAAAATACCCAGTTTTCTCAAAGATTGTTTCATATATATACAAGTTAGCTTCTTTTTGAGGAATGGATTTAATTATTACTGAATAAATAATAATACATTCGTTTCTTTGTTTCAGGAAAAAGTTTCATATATTGAATAAATTCTATTCGTTTTTTCTTTGTAAATAAGATCGTGTGTAATGATTGAAATGAATTCTAAGTCAATATGAGTAATTAAACCCTTGAATGTCAAGAGGGATTTCTTTTTAATCACGAAAAAATAAAAAAAAATAGAAATAAAAGAAAAACATTCATAGTGATGCTTATTTTCTCGACTGAAGGGAGAGTCGTACCAAATAAAATCGTTTGTTTGTATGTTTGCAAGCACATTTCTAGTCACGTGTTCGCATATATTGATGTAATTTAGAGTTTCAGCTTTTTCGGACAGAGAAAGCTTGTACATGAAAAAAATGGTTTTTTTTGACTGAAATAAGGGTCATACGAAATAAAATGAGTTTGTTTGTTTACTTGTAGGGTGTGGATATGAATATGTTTGTCATTATTTTTCATTTTTCCAAATTTAATATTCTTCTTATAATAATCATGAAATTAATTAGTAAATAAGCCTGTTTTGCGTATCCATGTCATCTACAGTAGATCTTACGCACTATTATCTATATTAATCAACTCACGAACAAGTATATTCAGAACGTTTCAAAATTATAACTTGATCAATTTTGAAATAAAAAAAAACTCTAGAAAGTCTGATGATTGTATTTCTCGATTGTTAATGTTTGTAATGGGGGAAGGGAAGTCGTAAAACGATGATTTAACACTTACACTAACTATGTTCTTAGGAAATGTATGTCAACTCCACAAAAATGTGTTTCAATCAACAGGATAATCGAGGAGAAATTTCAAATGTACTAAGAGACAATTCTTAAATCCTAGCTAAGATATTATCTTCTCATTAAAAATGTCCATTGAATAGCAAATGTTAGTTTTTATTACGATGGTTCTTCTCCATAATGACTTTGACCAATTTATTTGAATATTTTGGAGTAGAAAGTTCTTATAAAATGAGAAATCTTTTTCGAAAGGTTTAGATCTGCAGTACTAATCGATGAAAAGTAGGCTAATACTTATGATCAGAGTGTATTGTTGCATGCATATACCAGCTTAATATGATTAGGAACAGTAGCACTTCAACAGGTAAGGAAGGGAAAAAAGAAAGATAGCTATACTTTCTGTACATATATGTAGATGAGAGTTTTTAGAGATCTGTGTTTTTTAAGATTTATTGGATAATTTCTAATCATATAATTTATACTTTCATAGCATATAACATATTCTAGCCATCTCAGAAGAAAACCATAGTTCAGAAAAGTTAACTCTTCACTTTCATTCGTTCATTTTTTTTTTCTTAAAATCAACTCAAAAATTCATAATCAAAGATAAAATGTTTTCAAAAGAGACGGTCTGAAAGTAACTGCGTTTCAAAGAGCAAGTATTGTGTGAGTGAATACCTGTGAATTAATTGACGTGTTGCTCAAGAAAATTGTGGTGTATAGTCTAGAAGTAGAAAGGTACGCCGAAGTTTGCGATAGTCCTTAGCACAAGAAAATATGATAGTTGAGCGATATTATGAAACGCTAGTATAATGATCATTTCTTTGATGTAAATTTTTCGAGCAGCTTAAACATGTCATCTGCATACGAGTTTGAAATCATTTGCAATAAAAGTAATTGATTTTATGCTAATGAGTCCTATGAAGATGGGATTCTGAATGAATAACATAAAGAAAATATGTAATGTATTCATCTAGAATGGTATTATCAAGCTATCACAGTCACAGTAATATTTCAGTAATCAAGCTGTTCTATCAATAATATAAAGAGATGTAAGAAAGTTACTCTTCAAAGAGCTAACAAAAAGTTGTTCTTTACTGTATTAAAACTTTGTTTATTGGAATTTTTGAGTATTCGTATGGCAAAGCAAAAACAAGTTAGGTTCACAATGCGTTATTTTTTTGTTTTTGAAGAGTATAGTATATACAAAAAAAATTAAATTATCGCAGTATGAATACATTAGGGTCTTCTTGAGTGTCGATATTTTGCTGCCTTAGCAAATAAAACATTTGCAATTAATTTATGACTTCAATATGTGACTCCATGTTAAATAATCATGCTTGTTTTTCTTTCATTTATTATTACTTCTTCAATTAAAGACGAAATCAAATTTAAAAAAAAAACAGACGAATTCATATAAATATTCATTGCATATATATATATGTCTAGGTTTTTTTCTTTTCTATCTAATAATTGGATTGATTTTATAAATCTGAGAATAGTTCACTTTTTTGAGTTGCCTCTACTGATCTGTATAGGTATCAACAATGCAACAATCCAATGTAAGTCGTGTGTATACATTACGCTCACCTTCAGTGATCAATATGTCTTGGTACGACGATGATGATGATGATGATAGAAAAAAATCTGCTTATGTTTATCGAAGGTAAGAAAGATATTAGAATATACTTTCTCGAGGTAACCAAAGTAATAAAATATATGATTGCATACGTATGCAAAAAAGTTTATCTAACTACTTCTAAATGATGTAGTCTAAGTAAATTACTTAAATAAAAAACTAAATGCAAATAGAAAATATATTTAGGCTTCAGAAGTTCTCTAGATAATAGTTATTATATTGTAGAGTGGTTTTTAGGAATATGAAATGCAAGAAATTTTTTATTCTATACATGAAAACTTCGTTCCCTTCTTGATTTTCTATGTCTCTATTTATT